CTCCCATAGCTGAAAGGGCGAGCATATTTGGTGGGACGGGGATTCGAACCCGCGACTCTCAGATTGCGAGTCGAGTGCCCTAACCACCTGGCCATGCCGGGCCCTGTCAATATATTTACACAAATATCTGTTTGTTCTTCGATCTTTGTTCATTGGTAGAGTAGTCGAAAGTTTTAAATGCTAAAATCTTACCAAGGCACTGGTCTCTCTTCCTTATAGGACAGACTTATATACACAGTATATCCTGTTTATGACAAAACCAGATTCATATAGCATGAATATGTAAAAAATAAATTTCGAGATATTTTTTAATTTTATTTAAAAAAACTATAATCTTACCATGTCTTTTTTGTACTTCAGACTATTTATTTCTATTGAAAAACGGGACAAGACTATAAATATACAGAATTAGAACTACACTACTTGATTGAATGTTTGCCAAAAACACAAACAATTGAAACTAATTACAGTTTTATTTTAATGTTTAACATTATATCATGTTATATGAAGTTTAGGCTGATATAACTTAAGTCTAAAAGTTGTCCCAATAAAAATAATTCTATAAATTGGAGTACATTTATTGTGACACTCTCACAGTTAAACTGTAAGTTCATCATGAAATGATCTTAGCAAAACGATCATAATCTTATCCGTGAAGATTGAAAAGCTCAAGTATAATTTATACATACGAAAAAATAACTAGCTTCGCTTAGCACAAAGCTACATAAAGGACAATCTGTACTCTGCCCACCACGGCTATCGAAACCCAGTTTCTAGCGGTATAAATCAGCAGGTATACCGTTGTGCCACTGGGGGAGGGGCAAGGTGAAGGGCTTCAATTTACTAGGAATTGTCTTATCAGAACACGAATACAATAATGATATAACAACTACAGGTAACAAATTATGCATTTTCTGCTTAATGTTATGAATTATACAAGGTACTTAATTGGGATTCTTACTATGCTAATTGATAAGCAATCGTATAATATATGATACTTAATAATTTGGGAAAGCATAGTGAAATAGTGTAGGATTCATATTGTAATAACTAGTCAGATCAGAGGACAGGTATCGTGATAAATGATTACTGAAAGACCAGTGAAAACATATATATTGAGGGATTAGTGAAAT